ATTAAGCCCAATTTGGTCTGAGCCCGAGGTGGGCTTAATAACCGGCGACTACAGTATATAGGTTATCCTTCAACCTATTTTTGGGCAATGAGGGTTCTACTTCCATAGTTGCAAGATTAAAAATGTATAAAAACGTTCTCAAGTTAAGTTTTGTTGACTATTGATTGTTGGCGGTGGGGGCATAATGAGAATGGCTAGTCTAATGGTATTACCAGCAAAGACAAGGGAGACTGGAATGGCCATTTCTGGCTGCTTAGATGTCGTCAGCCAGTCGTACCCAGACGCAACTGGAGTCCCACAGAGCCTCGAATTCGCGACCTCTTTCATCAGAGTCAAACGCCCTAACCATTGAGCCATGGACTCACTGTCTTTCCATGTTAGGCTGAGGGATATCGTCTTGTCTTTACCGGCAATACTATCTGCCTACACTATTAGCTGCTACAGCTGCCAGGACCTCTGTCGAGACCCCAGGCAGAGCCGGAGAGATGAGTAACGTTAGCAGCCGGGAGAATTTTCATCAGAGAGTGGCTAGTCTAATGGTTTACCAAGGTTTCAATTCGTTGGCCAGAACGATAAGAAAAGCCTTTATTTACTGCAAAACCCTGAATCCAAAACATCAGTCTTTGCGTTCCTTTACGTTTTCAATCGGTATTGTTAAAATGGCCTACAAATACACTGTGATCTTGTTTCTAAAATGGGGCTTAATTTTTGTAGTTTTGAGAAGTTTGTGGCTGGCTGTTACCTCGGAGAGATTGTCCGTCATATGATTGTATTCCTCACGGAGAAAAACCAGCTATTCGGCGGCAACCTACCAATGAGCCTGAAGAATCCATACACATTTCCCACAAAGTATATCTGCGAAATAGAAAGGTAGGTTCCCACTGCGCTGAATAAATGATAATTTTAAAATGCATTTTTAAACGTAAGGCAGCCTTCTGAGATAAGTTGTATCGAATTTAGTAAATTCGATGTCTGCTAAAAGCAATGCCATGCCGGTAATTCTAATGATGTCGTCTATTTCAGAGACCCTCCTCATCTTTTCTACACCACGGAATATATTCTGCGGGAGGACTTAAAAATCCCAAATCTGAAGATGGACGATCTTCGGATCGTGCGCTACGTTTGCAGCGCAGTGGCTCATCGTTCCGCCTGTCTGGCCGCTGCCGGTAAGTTTTGTATCGAGTTTTTTTCCATATACACAAATGCAGTTTATAACCCGTTCCAGCTCAGGAGGAGATCATGGATTTCGGACGCTTTTTTTCCAAGATGAGCAACATCTTGTGATGGATATTCATAGAATTTAGGTCAGGCAAGTCGCTTTATTCAGCCTCATCTCAGCTATGGTAACTCCACCAAGACACTCTAATTCGCTGGTAGCGTAGCGAATGAACCAGATAGCGGGCAATATTTTCTCAGTTTAATGAAATAGTGGATGAAATCTTTTTCCAGTTATTTCAATTTTCATTCGATTAAAGGAATACATGGAAGTGGTACAGTATGGCTACGAATCCGTGCAACACGCTGACATTTGCAAATGATAGATACTGACTCATTGATCGGCATTGAGTAAGGTTGAAATACTGATTATTTTGAAGCCTATTATCAAGTCATTTTAGTCACGATAGGATGCCGGCCTTTTAACGAGCCTCCTTCTGACCGCTAACAAAATGCATGTACTGTGAAAAATGGGAAATTATGTAGTATGCATTCTTATCACTGATTTTGACGGCATTTATGAATGCAAATATATTTTATGGAAAACATGCACAAAAAATCTTTCTTGTACTCATTTGGTAGCAACTAACACCCTCTTCAAATCTTATACTTACGAAAAGGGTATCTGTTGCTTTAAAAAATTTTTAAATTGGCGAATAATTTGCAAACCTACTGACTGCCACACCTCAATTCAAGGTGTACAAACTGCGTGCCGTGTACATCCTATTTAAGGAAAGGTACCTGTTTACCTACGGTTTGAGGAAGACACCAAATAGTTCCCATAAAATGTTGCAATAGATGTGGAGCATGCTGTATATATTATAGGCAGTCTTCCTAAGTTGACGGCAAGAAGTTCACTTAAAAAGCAGGCATCTTATCGTGAATGCAATGACTTGAGAAAAGGCTACACAATAATCAAAATTACAACCTTAATCAATGCCGATTAGCGAGTGAGTACCAATATTTCGCAAATGTTGGCATGTTGCACGGATTTTGAGCCGTACTGTATAGTTAACATAACCGGTCACAACCATCAAGACAACGAGCTCATGGCTAAAGGATTTAGAACATTGTACTTCTTACTAACAGAACGCGGATACCAAACTAAGGGGTTGCAAACATGGGGTT